AACTAAACATTCTGAGCGGATACGGACGTCCTAAACTTTGATAGCAATAGTTTGTGAACAATATGGTTACACACGCGCTTATATACGTTTTATAGCTTCTTCATTCTGCGTTAAATTGGAGCTGTAAATTTTTGGAAATTGCTTTTTTATGATCACTTCACACGCATCAATATCTGTTTTTGATTTATGTCTGGACGTGATATATGCCTTAATATCCAATTATGAATGTGATTTTGTCCTCTACAGCAAATATTTCATCAAATCATGAAACCAGTTACAAGTATTTCGATTCTGGAAATTAAATAAACTGCATTAATTACATCGCTACGCCCGAAACTATTATTTTTTTCCTTAGGAATGATTTGCAGTGTAGAAGTGTGCCAAACTAAGATAAAATTTTCCACACGTCACGGCAGAAACTTTGCTCGGCCTCATCGAACGGGCTTTCCGCAACGTCAATAATAAATTAAACGCCATCAGAATATGATTCACCAAAACCAGCCCACAAAAAAAGCATTCGAAGGTCACTCATCATGCCCCATTTACAGCTATATTGTTTTGCAACAGTACCTGTACATGTAATTTCTTTTTTCTCAGAACCAGCCATCAGTCAACATTTTAATAAAAATTCCATTAGAATTCGCAGTTATCTCGGTCGAGGGGGGGAGTACCAGAAAATCTCGTGTTACCGTTGCTTTTTTCGTGACGGATTTTTATCACCTTTCACTTCTGCTTCATATGCCATCGCTGAACGGCTTAGACGACCTCAAGACATTTAACCTGGTTCTATTACGCGAGGTTATATGTAACAAGTATTTAAATGATCTAGATACGGCGCCCAGGACTGTTTTTCGGTAACGGGTTTTGTAAAGTTGAAATTGATCATCGATATTTCCTCTTTCCAAAAGCAAAGTGATGATCGTTTGCGTTCTAATTTATCGTAGGTAACAAAGAGTCGAGTCGGAGCGAGAATAACAGTACCCGGTTATTTCTGCAACTTGTTATATGATGAGATCGTGCTCATCAACTGGTGTCAACGACATTGGTAAAAAAATGGCAGTGATTCATCAAGGAAAACGACTTTGGACGGATTAGTTCGGAAACTTGTTTGCAAACAGGAATTAATTTTGTCTCAAATTTAACCTTGTCTAAACTACCCAACTTCTTAACTGTGTCAACTAAGAGACCTGTTATATTTGTCAAACGGCTCATCACAGCGTCAGTAGATACGGAATTTTTTATAAAAATCATTCCATTCAAAAACCAGTGAAAATCTTTAGCAATTGTTGTTATCAAAGACCAATAAATGCGTTTGTGGAAATTAGAAGAAATACTAACTTTTAATTGCTTGCGAGTAAAAGAATAAAAAGAAAAATATTAAAGAATATACTAAAAAAAATACAAAAATTGTCAAGGATTCCTGTAGTGTGATTATAACTCGGATTATAAGTTTGTATTATTGACTTTTAACCTTCATAAAATCAAATCTTACTCAAATGAAGCAGTTTGGAATTTCAAACAACTTATAAGTTTGTCAAAAAAATTGACTGTAACTAAAATGACATATTCTTTGATTTCTCTGCAAATCAGTTTAATCTAAGACTTAAAATGAATTCGCTTTTAAATGAAATCCTTATTACGGCAATTTAATTAATTATGTCCATTCAGTCGTACATAATCTGCAATAGTGAAAATTAATTACTGAAATTTTCTATAGAAATGCGTTCAGTTACACCAATTTAAGTTGTTTTCGAAAACGTCGGCTTTGCATCAGCAAAGCTGCCTCACACGATGGGAAAAGGATAATAAAGCAAGAAATATGAGCGGCTCAATAAAACTTCTCTGTTTTCGTCGGGGCTCGCGGCCATATTTTATTTCGTTATTCGTACACTACGGCACTAAGAGATCCAGCAGATATTGATCTACATCCGGTTGCCATATTTCACTTTTACGGTAACAGCATCATTAAGCTTGCACATCTGGTGGATCAGGTTAAGATGTATTGTTAGTTTTATTCATTATCTGAGAGGGTAGTAATCTATTTAGAACATATTTTTTTACGAAAATAGAATTTTTGCTGCTTAATTAAATTTCGTTACGAATTTCACTACACTTTTGAATCGAAGTTAAAGCGGATTCGCTAAGGAATGTTTAATTAAAACAAATAAACTGTAAATTATTTGCTTTATGTGTGAAAATTAGTAATTACTTCACAGACACTAAATTTAGCACAGAAGACCAAGCCAGCAAGTGTTTGAAATGCCTATAAAAAGTATAGCCGTTGGGTGTCTTTTTTAAGACTGACATGCCGAGGTAAAGTGGATACTGCATTTTGAAAAGATCTACTTAATGTCCATGAGCACTTTAGTCTATTTTAAAGGTAATTTATGCTAATTTGGGGAAGATATACCTATAAGAGCTCAACACTAGCTTATAATTAAGTACTTTAATTGTAAATAAATTTCCGAAGTTAATGGGCTTTGACATAAAAAATTACTTATCTTATATTTAAAAAAAGTACGAAATGGTAAATTACATCATTAGTTTGTTCGAGAAAAAAAATGGAAACAGAGTTAAAAATATGTCATCTAATTGCTATAAAATTTCTATAAAGAATAGAGCAAAAACAAATAAATACAATACAAAAAGAATTATAAAAAATATGAAATAATTTAATAATAAATTGAAGGCGCTATCAATGTTGCATGTAAAATCCTCATTAAACTAGTTGAAGGAATAAATAAATTACAACGCCTTCTGCCTATAAATAATATATCTATTATCTAGATTTTATCATAACGGACACATCGTTGCGGATAGAATTCTATAAAAATAGACGTCAGGTGAATGTAAACCGGAAAATATGATATCTTTGGTGTACGCCGCATCTATTTATAGAAAGTAGATGAAGATCAAGTTCAGCTCAGCTCAGTAGACGTGGGACGTAGGAAAGCACTCGATAGATGCCAGTTCCTGGCGTTTCCTGATTTTTCTACACGCTAAACAAACTCCATTTTCTTTACTTTATCACCGCTGTTTGCCGACGTACTTTGCATCCCTGTGTGAGACTCACCAGCAGAACAAACACGACTCGCTTCCCACGACAATTCTGCTTCCCTTAAGTACATGGGCGGACCCAAGAGCGATTTAGTCGAGCGAAGTACCGTTTTTTTTTTCAATATTTTCAGTCTAGAAAAGTACCAAATGCATCCAGCAGCTTATAAGGTAACGTCCAATAAAGGACATAAAATACAAATTAGAGAAAATAGTAACAAAAACATTAAATATTGAATTTATTTTTTTAAAAATAAAATAAAACGTAAATTATTCCTTGAATGAAAAAAATAGTTACATTTTTCTATAAATACGCAAAAAAAATGTTTGTATTAAATAAAACAAAAAAATGTCAAGTTATATTTATCCCCCTTAAAAGTTTCCTGAATGATTAGGTTCCGTAATAGCGTTTTGGATTTGAAACTGGATTTTCTTCCAATTATTTTCCCTTTACATTAACTTTTTGAATATTTTTGATATTTAAATAGCATTTTTTTGCAGAGACATATATAACACAATATTATCGTTTCTTAAAACTTTTAAATTCGCGTGAAATTGAAATAATAATTTATTCCCGTATCATCTCGAAAGAAACGAGTCTATTATTAAATATTTCAAGACGTACATCGCTATTTTTTGCATTTACCTTCAACTTTGAAACTCAGACAACTTTTCTGTGTAATATCGGACGCTGGTACGTAGAAATATATTTCGTACAGTTGTCGAACTTAAACCCGATTGTGCCGGCTGGCAAAACAGTTACGTGAATATGCCGGTCGCAGGTCTCTGGCTTTTATTTATTTCACTTTGCAGCGCTGACCTTAGCCTCTCAGACTACATTTTTTATGTCTGATACATCGCCGATTTATTATTGTATTTACTCTGACAATATTTATGCACATTTATAAGCATGTATATACTTATGTGCATTGCAAATCTTGTAATGGTATTTATTCTGCGATTTCGTCGCGCTCTCTCGGTTTCTGCCAGGCTGGACGGAATGCATTCGAGAACGGAGGCAAGGTCCTTTTGGCCAGACTGGAATTTCTGCTGGAAACGGCCGTTTCGTGCCGGAGTTTTCGAGAAAAAATTTTACCGAACAGTTGAGCATTTGAAATTGTTATAAGAAATTGAAGTTAAGTCGCACCGTTTCTTAAATGTTTCGAAAAAAAAACTGAAAACTCGAGTTTTCTTTCCTGCTTTGTCTGCTCGGAATGGAAATTTTCCAAGGCCAACTAGAACCGAGTTAAATAAATTGAGAAATTTACGTTTTTTCAACTAAATAAAATCTATTTATCCATCGTTCAACACCATTAATTAAATGGTAAGAATATTGAGTAGGTTTAGAAGATTTTTGAGGCTTCCAACAGAGACCACGGAGATTAATGTACACATATTCTTTTTTCAATAATAAAAAATTAGATGGATTTGGAGATGTCTTTTCAGTCTTATTAAAAAAAAATTAAGCAACTTTTTATTATATTTTATAATACGTTTAAAAATTATGACTTATCACTTTCTTTCATATAGAATATCAGTTTTGAACAATTTTTTTATAATAATTTAATTTTTATTAAAAAATCAAATCGCAAAAAATATTTTAGTCCTGATTCTAGTCGTTCCTTCGAAATATTTCTTTGTTTTTTGTTGTCTTTTGTTATTTCGTTACTTACATTTTCATTGTGTCATATTTTTTGAGTAAATTTTTATATTTTCAAACAAAATGCGGGTTTTGCATGGAAATTTCGCCAGCAAAAATGCGTGGAACCTCAAATATCATCCACAGTCACTTTCAGCGAGCCATATTCATAGGGACAATGCGAGACAAGGGCCGTCCCTTTAAAAGAGCCCCTACGCAACATATCCTGATTACCACTTGTGCACTGTACACCTTATCACACTGGGAAGAAGAGGAAGAGCACTTTGTCACTCGGCCCTTAACTTACCTCGATGCAGACTTCTTCGGCGGTGAAAAACTGAAGGGACGGGCGAAGCACTGTAAGTCCAGACCGGGGTGGTCGGGAGGGAAGGGCACTAAGTTAAACTGGCAAATGCGACTGTTGTACAGTGTGTTCGCGAATTCGGTGACGGTGTGGGGGCCGCACGGAGGACTATGGGCGAGCTTAACGGCGGCCGGCAGGGAATGAACTCGTGCGATTCTGTGCGCTGCAACTTTAAATACTTGGCGAGCGGGGGAACCGCCGTGTTAGCTCTTAGGCAACGAGTATTTGCTGTACAGTTTCATTGGCTCGCCTCGGGGTAGAGAAGAAACTGTATGGAATGTATATGCGAGGACGCAGCCACAGACGCCGACAGCGGACGGGGATATTCGCCGGTTGCAGTCTTCTCCGGCCGAACCGGGGTGGCCGCCGAATCGCGGACCGATTTTGTCATTTTTAGCAGAGTCGTTGGTTATTTTTGTTTTCTTGACACTTTATGATATTCGCTATTGTATCAAAGTAACCCATTTTCTACAAACCAGTTTAGTTTTCTTCTTATTTTCATGTATTTGAATTATTTAACAAATACATTTTGAATTTTGACTACCTTTCGAGACATTCGAAAGGTAGTTAAAACTCAAAAATATCTTATTTCTTATTTTCTTGTATTTGAATTATTTTTAACAAATAATTTTGAATTTTGACTACCTTTCGAGACGTTCGAAAGGTAGTTAAAATTCAAGAGTTCTGCACTTGATTATAACCTTCATATACATAATTTCATTTAATATTTAACACATTTTGGAGACATTTTAATACTTCAACAGAGACTCACAGAAAATGTGTCTGTTTTCTCGAAGACTTTTCTTAATTTTTGCAGTTTTATTTAACTTTCTTAGAATGTTATAGAAGCGAATAATTATATCAATTATGTTTTGTGTTATACGATGTGTAATGCTTTTTCTCCAGAACAACTTTATTTCTCTTTCGGACTTTCAGACTTTCAGACAGTAACTCAAAGAATCAAGCTCAAAAATTAGTTGAAATTCAAATAAAGCTCGTTGGTTGCTTTCGTATAAATATTCCGTACTACATAAGCTATGTTAAAAACACATTTTACTTCTAAACTTCCAATTTACACGTTCTTTAACACATCGACAGGAAATCACAGAAAATTGTTTTTTTTTTGTGGCAGATTTTTTAATATTTAACTTTCTGAGAATTTCATATAAATAAATAATTATCAATTACGTTTTGTCTTAAACGATGTGTAACGTTTTTTTTCCTAGAACAACTTTATTTTTTTTTTCAGCCTTTCCGACAGTAATTCAAAGAATCAAGGTCCAAAATTAGTCAATTACTTCTAAACTTTCAATTTATACGTTCTTTAACATATCGACAGGAAATCACAGAAAATTGTTTTTTTTTGTAGCAAATTTTTGAATATTTAGTTTTGGCGGTATATAATTTTCTTAAAATTGTTGTTTATATGAGTAAATTTCGTTTTAGTTTATACAGTGTCACGAAAATCGTGAAAAGTCGTCGGGGATTATATTCATTTTTCTGTAACGCTGTTATAGATATAATATTTACATCGAAATATAAAATAATGTATTATTCTCAAAAACAATTTTAATTTTTTTTAATTTCGTGTAATTGAATTATTGACAAATATATAAAGACATTCGAAATGCAGTTAAAATTCAAAATGTTCTATGAGTTGCACTTGATTGTAACCTTCATATACATAATTTCGTTTAATGTTTACCACAATTTAGAGACAATTTAATATATTAAGGGATTTACAGAAAATATGTCTGTTTTCTCGAAGTTTCTTTAGTTTTCTTAATTTTGACCGTTCTTTTCAATTTTCTTAACATCAACAGGAAATTATAGAAAATTGTTTTTTTTTCTATTATAACATTATTTATTAATTATTTAATTTTGTTGGTTGTATTTATTTTTTTAATTGTTGTTTTTGTGAGTAAATTACGTTTTTGTTTATACAGGGTGTCACAAAAATCGTGAAAAGTCCTCTGGAATTATAATCATATTTCTGTAACGATTTTTAATATTTACGTCAAAATATAATAAAGTGATGTACTTTCTCAAAACCTATTTTAATTTTCTTACTATATTAGTTATATAACAAATTAATGTAATTTAAATTATCAAATTAGAAAGATAGTTAAAATTCGAAAGTTCTATGAGATGCACTCGATTGTAACCTTTACATAAATAATCTATTTCTATTTTAATACTTTTTAGGCATAATCTACTTAATATTATAAATCTTCGGTACCTACGTTCTTTAATACATCAACAAATCACACGAAATTAATCCTTTCTCATAAAATTTCTTTATTCAGTACTAGTCTGTTAATTCTACTTAATTTTCTTAAAATTCTGTTTGAGAGAATAATTCTTAATTATATTTTAATTTACACGATAAAAATCACTCATATTTCAGTAGTGATACGTTCATAGCAAATTATACCTATTATAAAGTAGCATTTTCTTCAGAACAAGTTTAATTTTCTTCTATTCTGAATTATCTGAATTATTTATCAATTGTATTCAGGCAGTAATTCAAATTGTCATTGGAAAGGTAGTTAAAATTCAAAATGAGGGCATGCTCTGAGATGCATTTGACACCTTTTGCATACACAATTGTGTTATATGTAGCCAATTTTAACACTTGATGATTTATTCAAAATTTTCAATGCAAGCAATTTTTAATACACCGACAAGAAACAGCAGAAATTTGTGATTTCTGGATCAATATGTTTTTTTCTCCATTTTGGTAGTTCTACTATACGAGCGTGTCACAAAAATAGTGGAAAATCCTCGGAGATTATAATCATCTATTTTTCAATAGCGAGTAGTTTTTTCTACGATATGGAGATACAGGGCAGTCGATATGTCTTAGAAAATGTGTCTCGAAAATGACTGAATATAATTAAATTATCAAAACCGGTTTTATAAAAAAGTTTCAGTTAAATACTCACACATCCTTGTGACACTGATTTTTTTCTGAGGTAAAACTTTTTTCCATGTAATTTTTTTATTAATTTTCATTCCTTCTGCAAATAACTTTAAGATATATGAGTTTGAAGAATAAGTTCGATCAAACACTTCTCTAACTGTTTTCGTTTTTTGTATGTCGAGTCGAGAGTTTCAAGAAAGCGATTTTCAATTTTTATTATCGCGAAAACAGCTGAAAATAAAAATCGTTAAATATCAAAACAAGAAGAATTTTTTAATTTTGCACTTGAATGATAGTTACTGAAAATATAACATCATTTTTAGAATTTAATTATCCTCAGTAGTTAAAAAAACATATGTCCCAAATTATATCTATAAAGTAACATTACCCATCTATTTTGTCCCACTTCTGGTTTGACACCCTGTATATTGTAGACACATCACTGTACAAGCTAATATTTACCTCAAAATGAATCATTTTAAATAAAGAATCATTACTTAAGTAAAGGAAACTGGTATATATTTGTATAAAAAAAAGAAAGTTAACGTGGTGTACTGTATTATTTACTGTTTTCGGCATATCGGGGAGCTTTTCTTTGATATCATGTTGCTATTCTAACAGCTCACCTGCCTGTTTTGAAAGCTATGTAATGTAGATGGTCCCCAAAGTTAGGGAAGAATTATATTTATCCTAAGAATTTGTCCTTTTGTTCCATCAGGATCAGAAAGCTTTTGATGTTACTACCATTTAATAACGGGGTTGTTTAATGTACTTGGAAGGTATCCCTTGCAGCGAAAATCATATCAAATTCATTCTCTCTTGGCGCGTATAATAATATATATTTCATGGAGCCCACTCCAAAACTTCTTAAGAGATTTTTTTTTCTAGAAAAAACGTATAAGTTAAAAAATATTAGACGTGAATTTATATTTAAACCGCCAAATAGTTTATGTCATTATTTATTTTTACGATTTAGTTTAATTTAATTAATAGACCGATAAATATAATACCTGTTATAACCACAATTTTTGTGATATGAAAAAGTAGGAAATTGTCCATATATCGTCACTTCTATGGTTGTGGTAGATATACGTTCGTAAAATTAGTCTTTAGTATATGAACTATATACATAAATTCAGTAACCATTGAAGCCGATTCAGTGTTTGATTATTACAAGCAAAGTGTTACAGGAAGTGTATTGGTTAAGAAATATAAACAAATTTGAGAATTACTGGCATAATCTTATTCTTAATTTCCAAGAATTTGGTGAGACTGTAGTCTAAACAGGATATGAATACAAAACTAAATTCATATCATAACATTTTATTATTCGACAACTGTGTTGTTAAAATTCGAGTATAAATTTCATATTTCCGCTTATATAGTCTCGTTTGAAAAATTGCGACTAGAAGCTGAAGAAAAATATTATCCGTGGTATGAAAAGCGGAGTACCAATGTTCCTGATTAAGTATTCGTTGTACAGAACCAAATTGGAGATTTATATGAAATGTACACAAGCAGCCACAGACGACGAATGCTATTACAGCTTTGTCGTTTGCAGTTTCCTGTAGGATCACAAGGTTTTCTCCTTTGATCTAGATTTAATAATTACTTCGTCGTTCTCGTCAACGTTTAATAGCTAGTTAAAGTCAACAACTCATAAACAGTAAAAGACAGGTTTTCTCGAGCTGAATGTTAGATACCGGATTTTTAATTACATGAAATATTAATGGTTTTGAAAAATAAACGTTTTGTTTCATTGATAACAATTTAACACCAGTTCACTTATTCTTCCTGATATATTAGTAAGAAGCTTTTCTAATTTTAGCAGATAAGTGTGGCAATGAAATACTTTTTACACAAAATAATGTTAGTGGCTATTTTTAACTCCCATGTCATTGTTAATCTAACAAACGTATTCCAAAACATATATTTTTAATTCAAACGGGAACATTGATTATAGCGGAATGATGGAAGAACTGACTGGATGTGCTCGCGACACGTATTGTTTTCACTTTGTAGCGCGATCAAAGACCTATCCTGTTAGCAGGATTAGGGACTTTCTTTTGATGTCCTCTGGTCTTACAGTAAAGCCTCTTATAATTGCAGAAAGCTTTTATCGAGGTTATGCCGGGATTGTTGGAATCATTTTTATAGTCAATTACAGAATACCTAATGTACAAGGTGTTCGTTTGAAACGG